GACTTAGTCTGGAATAGCGAGCACCGCTGACGACAACCTTGGGGGCCCTGACGCTTCTAGATCTTGCCCTAACAAGTTCCAATCGCCGCCCATGGTGCATGGCGACGCCGTTCTCGCCATGATTCGACCAGCAACTGCCAGGATCTCCGCGTTCTCTCCTGGCGCTCCAATCGCGCCGAGTAAATGCACATTAAGAAGAGACAAGCTTGGCCAGCCTGGGAGATTTAGAATCACGCGCTGCAGTCGCTGATCACTTATCAGCTGTCCAGTCTGTGGGAAACAAAGCCCTACATCTGCTCGAGCCAGGACTGCAACTCCTCCTGAGAGAACTGTGCCTACTGCCTGGCGTGCTGGGAAGGCTGCAACTTTCCAACCGCAGCTATGCAGTGACTCCAACAGCGGCTCCGTGAATTCAGTCTCCTGAAGTATAACTATGTGCGCAGACGTTCTCTGCGCGATTTGCTTCAACGTCCCTTTGCCGCCACTCGCGTTGGAGGCCGCGATCGTGTAGGTACCCTGCGTGGACGGCGTGGGCGGCATTCGTACTTCGTACTTAAACTCCTTGCAACCTTAGACCACGCACAAAGATGTCACCCACGTCGCTGATTCTTGTCAATCTCTCGCAACTTAGCCTGGAACTCCTCAAAAGTACATCCCTTGCCCATGTCGTATAAGGCCTGCTGCTCGGCATCGTCGAACTCCCGCTTGACGCCTGCATGCTCGGCGCCGTCATCAGGAGGGCGCTCATCTGGTTGATCAGAAGCGTTGCCCATAGGAACAGCCTGAGCACGAAGCCGCGCCGAGAGGTGCTCGCGCAGCTTGGCCCAGACATCCGTCCCGATGAACTCCTTGAGCTCTGGATCGTCGATCTCCTCTTCTTTGACGTTGAGGACATCCGTGGGGTTCTTCTGCTCAAGACCGCTCGCGCCACCAACGTTCGCGACATTGTTGCGGACCTCCTCCTGCAATGTAGTGGCTTCAACCTTCTTGGTCTCCAGTCGGACGCGCTTCTCAACGATACTTTCCTGCAACGTTTTGGGCTGCTCCTGATTGTCACCCGGCTCCCTGGTGAGCCGCTCGCACGTCGCCTGAGCCTTGTAGAGGTCCTGCGTCGCGCGCCTGTGCGCCACGGCGGGGGGCCGTAGCTGCTTCTGCTCCTTATTGATGTGCTCGATATTTGTTTGCATTGTCTTCCGAAGCTCTTTCCCAGCCTCGCCCTGCGGCAACGTCTTGATCGACGCCTCGAAGCAGGCGAACTGAGCTGCAAGCTTGGCTCGTTCATCTTCTTCTTTATCATCCGGGTGGGGCTCCGACGCGGCCGTAGGATCAACTTTTGGACCTTTGTACCATGGATCCTTCTCTTTGTCTTTCTCTTTGTCGCCAGTGTGGCTGCCGCGCAGTAGCTTCTCGATCTCTCCCAGCCGCTTGGAGAGCTCGAGGTCTTGCTCAGAACGTCCTGCTGCGCCTCCGCCCCAGCTGGTGCTGGTGTCTTCTCATCCTACAACTTCCGGTTCTCCCACGCCGTCTTCCTGATGCGGGCGGGAGCGCCGTTGCCACATGTGCACTTGACCCTGCACGTCCAGTTGGCGCTCGCCCTGCAGCGCCCGCACGCCCAGAAGGGGCGGCGCGGGCCGCGCGGCTGCGGCACCATGGACGTGGCGGTCGGGCGGCTGCGGGCTGCCTGCCTCCGACGGGACTCGCGAAGGAGGGTGCCGTCTGCCTCAGTGCGCGCAGCAGCATGGATGGCCCCTTAAGGCAATTAGTACTGGCCGCGGACTTACGGTATGCGTGCGCTCCCCTGTGGGACAAAGCATCTTGAGCCACAATGGCTACGGAGGAGGCGGAGGAGCAGGAGGAGGACACCAAGCGGCGAGGGGAGGTGGAGGGAGGAGGGGCAGGACGGGCCATGGAGAGGCACAACGGGTGATGATGGTGATGGTGATGGTGATGGTGATGATGATGATGATGATGATGATGATGATGATGATGATGATGATGATGATGATGATGATGTTGGTGATGACGATGATGACGACGATGCTGATGATGATGTTGGTGTTGATGATGATTATGATGAGCATTATGCTGCTGATGATGTTGATGCTGACGGTGATGATGATGGTGTTGATGATGATGATGATGGTGATGATGATGACGATGACGATGACGATGACGATGATGATGATGATGATGATGATGATGATGGGTTATGATGATGGTGATCGTGATAATTATGAATACGATGACGATGATGATGATGATCCTGATGCTGCTGATGCTGCTGATGATACTGATGATAATGTTAATGATGCTGATGCTGATGATGCTGCTGCTGCTGATGATGATGATGATGGTGATGAAGGGGAAGATGCTGAGGAGGACGAGGAGCGAGGACCATAGTACACTCTTGATTCATCAACGATGTTGCAATCCACCCACCCGTCCCAGGTCCTCTCCTCAAACGTCTCTAGAAACATCCTTTTCCACTTCAGGAAACGCCCCGTCGAAAGATCAACACCGTATGAGCCTGCCGTCCGGGCGAGAACTCAATTGTGAAAACAATCTATCGCCCTGAAACGTTCCAGCGGGTAATCCGCCGACCCATGCTTGCCGGGGGTGAAGGGGCGTGTGAGATGATTGGCTGTCCCCCTCCCCGTCCCCCCTCCACTGGGATCCAAAATCCGATTCTAGGGAGAGGGGGGGGCGGAGGGGTCCCTGCGAGCTCGTCAACGCCGTCCCGGGCCTCCTGAGCCTCCCAACCCACAAGACGCCCCGCATTGTTCCAAGAGGACTGCCGAGAAGGCCCCAAGAGGCACACATTGTCTGATTCCATCATAAAAAGCACGTTTTTGCACACTCGTTTTTCGTCGCTCTTTGTCTTCACAGCTTCCGAGAGCCCAGGGGACCCCCAAGATCGTAACAAGACGGCCGATGAGACCCCCGAGGGGGCTCCAAGACTGCCAAAGAGGGCCCCGAGACGGCCCCACGGCCCAAGAGAGCCCCAAAAGTGCACCCGAGAGCCATCCAAGAGGCCCCTGAGAGGCATCCCAAGAGACCCTCATGTTCATCCAAGAGGCTCCTGACCCACAGCCCAGGCACGGGTGCGGGTTGGGCCGAATGCCACTCGATAGCTTCCACGATCGTCGCAAGCTCTGCCTCTTTCTGAGGATCGGCAAGTAATGCCCCACATATTTCCTCATACATGTAATCAGGGCGTCCAACGAGATCCCAGTTTTGAGAAAGGGTAGAGGAGGGGCCAGAAGGGGAGAAGGGAGGATGCGGCAGGAAGGGAAGGGGATGTGAAGGCGAGGATGGTTAGGAGGGGGGGGGTAGGGGAAAGGGAGGAGGACGGAGGGGGGAAGGGGGACGGATGTGTGCGTTCGCGCCATGTCTGACACCCGCCCCGTCACACATATTGATTCCTTTTCACTGTGACCCTAGCTTGTCCGCCGGATGGGGTGTCCCAGGTGACACTGGTCCCCAGAATGGCCCCATCGAGTGATGTATAATCAGAAAAAAAAAGATTTTGCACGGTGGGCGTGGAGGAAGTGGCGGATGAGCAGGAGGGAAGCAGGATGGTGAGGAAGGAAGGAAAAGTAGCATGATCAGGAGGACTAGGAAGAGCAGGAAGACCATGGTAAAACAGAGGAGGGAACAGGAGGGGAACGGAAACGACGAGGAACTAATCGGATCCGGAAATGTGGGCCGCGCTGAGGCGAGAGCGCATATCTGGACGACGGGAGCAAAGCGCCGATCCTGAAATGCGGTCAGTGCAGCAGCGGGGACAGACTCTTTAGCATCAAAAACTGTCGTACACCAGCAGGAAGCACGCATGAGAAATGAACAATTGAAATCCTGTGTTTATGGAACGAAATAGGCGAGGGGAGGGGGCGCCAACGCACAACACAGCATCCAGGAAGATAGAACCATATTGGTCATGCTGTGTGTTGCTGTCGGGTGGAAGAGGCCCGGATGGTGAGGGATGAGAGGTGGCGAGGGAGGGCAACACGTGCGGGACCGGGCAGGGAGGATACGGTCAGGAGTTTGGGATAGCGTGTCGCCACGGCGGCCATGGCGACACGCGATGTCTTGCGAGTGGATAACATGTCACGCCGAATCGCGGAGCGGGAAGCAGGGAAGAGCTCCCGACAGTGTAATAATAATACTAATAATAATAAGTGCATAAACATCAACTGTCGGAAGTCCGCGAAAATCTCTGGTATCTACAATGGCATAAGCCCCCCCAGCCCCCTGGCGCACGGAGCGCGCCAAGGGCGGCGTGTCTTTTTCGAGGGGGGGGGGGAGGGAGAGGAGAAGGAGGCCGAGCGTCCCCAAGAGGAGGGGGAGGAGGAGGAGAGGGAGGAGGAGGAAAACCAATGCAAGCCCAAGGCGCGCAAACGATTTTGCTATGAACCCTCCCGCGAAATTTCCTCTTTAGATGTCCCTGCAAGCATGTATTTTCACTGCTGGAAGTGCCCCATTGGCAGCCAACCGTCGGAGAATCCTCCATCGCTCCAGAGAGCCATTCCTGGGACTTCAACGCCGCGGGTCAAAATTACTGTTTCGTCCTGACAATCCTGCACCGTCCCAGATCACCGATCCTGGGACTTCAACACCGCGAATCAACGTGGCTGTTGCGCCCAGGACGGCCCTGAATCGTGCCAGAACGCCGTTCGTGGGACTACAAACCTAAGAACGCGTAGAACTCCTGTAATTTGTTACACGAATACGCGCTGCGCTAAAACGAGAAACACAAATTGAAACGCAGAATACCCATTCCGTGAATCTCTTACATTCTTTCTAACGAATGTGCGCGGCACTGCCGCTAGAAAGGAAGAAGGACAAGGATAAGGGGAGGAGGAGAAGGGAGAGGAGGACAAGGAGGGGGAGGAGGAGGGGGAGGAGGAGGAGGAGGAGGAGGAGGAGGAGGAGGAAGAGGAGGAGGTGGATGAAGGAGGAGGAGGAAGGAGAAGGAGGAGGAGGAGGAATGGGCGCCAGGCCTGCGAGCACGACTGGACCTGGGCGTTCCCGCGCGCGTCCCGGCAGAAGAACGCCTCGTCCTCCGGGCAGCCCCCGCACGGGCCCGCACCCCGGCCACGAGGAGGGCGAGGAGGGAGCAGGACGAGAATTGTGGGTGGCATGGGTGAAAGGTGGAAGACATGGCGGCAATGGTAACGTGACAGATAACAGGGCGTATGTCCTTTTCCCCTCACCATGTGTCATTCCGCGTGCGCGCCGTAGCCAGAACGGCAGCGGGCGCGCACGCGGGCTCCCATTCGAGTCGGGGCCACCGGCCGCTGGAGAGTGCCCCTCCGAGGCACTCAGGCCCTGGAGGACCCCTCCGCAAGGAGGTGCCACAGCATCCACCGCGGGGCCTCAGCAGTGGACGCTCAAGCTCCCTCGGCTCGGGAGCCTCCGCCCGGACGGGGTGCCGTGAACCCTGGTGGAGAGCCCTGTCAGCTCGACTGTGGTCAGCTCGTACTCGAGATGTGCTCAGCTGGCCATGGCCAGGGTCGCGAAGCGTGACGGCACCCCACAGCAGGGAGAGCCTGAGGACAATCTCCTTACCCGATGTGCTGTCGACCGGCCCGTGCTGCCTCACAACCAGCGTTGCTCGTGCCCAGCGTGCGCTCGAGCCGCAGCACTGATCGTGCCTGCTGGACAGACCGAGTTCTGTATCTTTGCGCAGCCCCTTGCTGGCACAGCTGACAGCCCTCGGCAATCCTTCGTGCGCTGGTGCCGGCGGGCGCGGTTCGTCGCAGCGGTGCGTAGGGCCAGCAGCGCAACTATGTTCATACTCGTTGGCTGCGCCTGCCTTGACGAGCGTGCAGGCTCAGTTCATCCAGTGGTTCGCGGTGGTGTGCCCTGTGGCCGCTGGACCTTGCTGCTGGCGACTGTCGGCCAGTGGTCGCCTTGGCCCAATCGTCGGTCGGTTTGGGAACTGGCGGTCTCCAACCCGCCGGTCAGTACCAGCCAGGATCCAGGATGATGCAATCCGAGTACAGGGTGTAGGCCGAGGTGACACACGGGTCCTGCTGCTTCATGGAATGCATCTCGTGCTGCAGGACCGAGGCGGTGGTGGACGGATGCGCCTCCGAGATGGTCTTCAGGCCGTCGAGTGTGGTCGGTACGTTGAGGTAGCCGACCAACTGGGTCTTGCGGAGGCGCCATCCAGCCACCTTGATGCGGCCCGATCCGGCCACCAAGCTGCGGCGTCATCATCCATTTGTGCCAACCTCATCCTCCTCAAGGTCCCCGATGCTCAGGCCGACGCCCTGGTTGGCGTGGGTGCCGCCGCCGTCGTGGCAGGCGCCGTAGGCAACGATGAACAGGCGCTTGCCGCGGATGGGCTCGTCCTTGCTCAAGTTCCTGATCTTGCCCTTGTCTTCCACGGGGATGGCCGCATCCTCGACCTCCGACTCTGGTCGCCAGAAGCTTCAGGCGGGCAACCTCGTGACTCCCGGATTGCTCGGCCCGAGGTCCGATTAGAGACATGATCCCGTTGTCGCCCTGGCTTTCCGTGAAGCCTGACTTGCCCGGGCTCTGCGGTGGCTCTGGGCAGGTGCGGCACGTGCGTGTACGATCGTGCTGCACGCTGCGTTGGTAGCTGTGGCGGTGCGTGGTTTCAGACGTGTCGCAGCAGCTTGTGGTGCGCAATTTGTTATGCATGCAACTGACTTGGTACTCGACCATTGTCGTCCGAAAGAAGCGGCGTTGTAAGAGTTCTGCGCACGTGGTGAATAATGAGTCGGTGATGTACGGACGCGTTCCAGAAGCACCGAAGCCAGAGGCGTCATGGTGTCCCGCGCTGGTTCAAAGACGATGCGGCTTTGGAGCGTGCTGGCTCGGATAGGCTAGCTGCTAGCTGCTTGTACTGCCGCGTGTGTCTGCGTGCCTCGTCATTGTGTTTGGCTACTCTGCACATTGAACGGGTACTCCTTGAAGGAGGATGCTACGGGCTGACTGCGGTTGCGAGACCTGCCGCTGCCGTCCTGTGCTGCACGCAGGGGCCATCAGCTGACGAAAGGTTGCATGATTGAAGTGATCCGACCACGTGGCTGGCATTCAGCAACAGAGAGGCAAGTGCTGCAAGTTTGATTGCAACAATGGCGTGGAGGCCGCACTCGCGCCTGACGCGCTGCGTGAACACACTAGCGGGCACAGACGATGCCCTGGCATGCGTCGCACAGCGCGTGGGTGCGTGGAGGGAGGAGCAATGTGCTGCGCTCCTGTAGACGCTCTCGGTGTCCAGGCCGGAAAAAAGAGCGCTTCGTGGCCCACTGCAATCTGCATGATCTCGCTCTTGATGCTCCTCCGGACGGAGTCCACGTCGGCGCGGGGGCATTGGTAGGCAATTGCCCTGGCATCTCGAAGTTCTGTCTCGTGATCGTCTCGGCCTTGCGTGGGGCTTCCCTGTCCTGGTAGATCTTCTCCGCCGTCGCGTTGATCCGAGAAATCCCCGCTCGCGATGTCGGATGTTCCGGAGCTCAGCGTCTCGCGGTCCATATGCAGGGCGTCCAAGATGCATGCGACGTCGCTAGTGTAGACCTGCACCATGCGACTGGAAGTTAGTACTCTACAGAACATCTACTGATTGATTGTGTTGTTGTGCCGTTGGGCGCCCACGTGGTACACGTACTGAACCGTACGCTGGAGGTCCTGGTGTGGTGCCATGAGGTAGACGTGCGTTCTCTCAGATAAACTGGAGGTCCTTCCGTCTTGCGGACGGCGGAATTGATGAACTACGGCGGCGTTGGCAACTCAATGACCGCGCGTGGCCGAAGCGGAACTGGAAAGGGACTGGTCATGAAGGTCAGCTGAATGTGGTCCAGGATCGCGTGGTTGAACTTGCCAGACACGATTGAATTGCTCATCGAAGAGCTCCCACTGCGCTGCTCACTTCCACATGACATGGAGTGGCGCGACGGGCGATGTGCGCTTCTCGACGATCTTGGCGTTGAAACTGACGTGGGCCCAATAGAGACGGACGTGAACATGTCCATACCCGTAGGCGCCGTCCGGGCCTTGGAACACATGAAGAATTCAGCCCCTCCGCGGATAAGAACGTGACCATGTGACGGTCAGTAGCCGACGCACCAGCGTCCACGGCGAACCGACGCAGCATGGTTCTCGACTGTATCTGCTGAGAGCCTCATGACTCGTGCCCAGGCCGCCGTTCGGGATAGTTCCAGTGACCTGATATTACCTCGGCGAGATACCTGCGGGAGGAGAAGAAGAGTCTGCCTAGACGTCGGGCGGCTCCTGAGCGCGCGTGCTAGCCTCCTTGGCCACGACCGCGGTCCTGGTCGCTGGAGGGCGCCTGAGTTGCGCGTGCAGGTCCTGGTCGAGACAGTCGGGATGCGACCAACCAAAATCATGTAGCGACTGGCCGACGTGTCCTCCCGGCAGGAGTCCATGCAGAAGTCGTTAGTCCCGACTTCTCGCGTAGCTTGTTCAACGCGTGCGTGCATGCACGTGGACGCACGCTTGCCTGGTAGTTCCGACGATCCGGGCCGTGCTGCGTGGGCCCAGGTGGAAAGGCAGTGGCATTGGACGAACTGTTGGCGCGCGCGTGCGTGCGCGCGGCGCTGCGGAGAGAACCATGGTGTGCGCGTGAGACGTACTAGCCTTTCCTACGGAATCGGAATCCACCCTGTAGTGGGGACTCGGCCGCCTCGAGATCAGAATGCAGTCCGAGAAGACATGTTTAGAAACGGATTCTACGCTCGATTCGGGGCCGCGTTTTCTCACGGCGTCTACATCATGGTGCGAGTGTCACTGTCTGCCGTTGGCGTCCCAACACAATGTCGATGGGCGATTTCCTGGCACTCCAAAAACGAATGATTGGGACTGGACCCCGCGCTCGAGTCGTGGCCGCGCTTTCTGTGGCGTCGTCATCGAGGTTCCAGTGGGTGGTACTCCACCCACTCGGCGTCAGAACTCCTGCATGACGAATGATTGCGCGCTTGCGTTATTGCGTGTTTGCGCGCTGACGTCGGAATGGTGCTCTCGCTGCCGCGCTGACCATCATGTCGGGGCGTCGCGTGAACAATTACGTGGCTGGACGAGAAGTTCTACGAGGAACAAGCACCATCATCGCGACGCGGCGCCTACTGCGGTGCAGCGCTCACCGCTATGGGAGGTGCGGGAAGTACACCAGACACGCCAGTTAATGTGCGTTGAGTGCGATGTGCGAAAATTAGCTCCGCACGAAAAAACGCCATCGAGACGCGGCGCGCGCGCGCCGTGCATTCACCCTGACATTTGGTTCGCCAGCAGCAAACAATTTCGCGGCACTTCGAGTCCGCGCGGGACGCGCGGACTTTCTGTCATTCCGTTCGCCGGCTGCAGAGGGTTTCGCGGCACTTCGAGACCGTGCGAGGCGCGAAGATCTGTTCAGCGCCACAGTGTCCGCGTCTCGTTGAAACCACGTGAAACGCGCGGATGCGCTCGGCGCCGAGGAACTCGCGGCAATTTGAGACCTTGTGAGACGCGTGGATGATGTCGGCGCCGACGGTTTGGTAGCACTCCAAGACCGCATGGGGCGCCCGGATGTGTTCGGTGACAAGACTGTGCGCGGCACTTGGGAACCATGTGAGACGCGCGGATGCGCTCGGCGCCAAGGGTTTAGCGGCACTGCAAATCCATGTGAGACGCACGGATGTGCTCGGCGCCGAGCGTTGAGGTGCAGCTTTGATACCCTGCGTGGCGCGCGTATGCGCTCGGCGCCAAGGGTTTCGTGGCACTTCGGGACCTCCTGCAGCGCGCGGATGCGCTCGGCGCCGAAGGAGTAATGGCACTGCCAGACTATGTGAGACGCACGGATGTGTTTGGCGCCGCGGGTTTCGCGGCACCTTTTGACACCATGTGAAACGCGCGCATGTGCTCGGCAGCGACTGGATCGTGGCACTTCGACACCATGTGCAGCGCGCGGATGCGCTCGGCGCCGAGGGCTTCGTGGCACTGTGAGACCATATAAGACGCGCGGATGTGCTCGGCGCCGTGGGCATCGTGGCCCTTTGAAACCCTCCGAGACCGCAGGAGATCACCATGGGGAGCCGCCTAGCGATTAAAATTATATCATGGTTGGAGACTTTGGGAATCCATCCGACCCTCGCCCTTCATGATACATAATTAGGGGCCCTACAAAGTGCTTCGAGCGCGGAGGGCCGCCGCCCCAGCGCGATCCAAGGGCCGCATGATTCTAGCGCAGAGTTTTGCCCGCGTCGGTTCGGCGAGCGCGCACCTCGCGATGAGACTGATTGGGGCTGTCTTGGGTGAGACCTGTGCGCACGTGCATCCATTTGGAGAGTGCGACGTTTAGTTCCCGACTTTTCCCCCGCAGACTGCAGGGGCGACGCGTGGCCCTTCTGCGCGAGAGCGCTCAGTGACTATGATGGCTTTGGCTCGTGCGAAGTGTTTAAGAATCGGAGTCGCAACCGCGCGACGTAGGCCCCTTCTCAGAATAGGCTTGCCGACAACGAGGCGAACGACTCACACGCAGGCGGGCCCGCAACGCCGGCGCGCGCTAGCGCGAAGGTGACGGCGTAGAATCGCCATGGAAAACATTATCCTCACCAACATCACGCCAGACTCTCGCATCGCAGCTCGACGCCGCTTCCCACTCCAGGTGGCGCATGACCGTGGGCGCGCTGTCCGCCGCGCGCTGCGGCGACTCCAGGGGGGCGACGTACCCCTTAGTCGTAATTCCACATCTGCGCGCCGGCAGTTGCCGCGCACAGGATTGCGGGCGCGCGGCGCCCAGTGCACGGGCGGCTCTGGCCACGTAGTGGGGATTGCACCGCCCATGCTCCCAGGGGTCTCTGGGCGGCCATGTCGCCTCCCTGGGGCTTTCCAAGGCTTCCTTGGCGGCACAAGATGCCCCCAAGACGGTCCAAGAGGGCCCCGAGTCGCCGAACGATCGCTCGAAGACGCCCGAAATGGCCTTGGCCCAAGGCACCAATACACCCCATGAGTCCTCCAAGAGGCCTCCCAAGAGGGCCCCAATATGCAAAACCTGTTCGGTTGTCCGACTCTCTAAGACAGCCCAAGAGGCACCCAAGACCACCCCAACACAGCCCAACATGATCGACCCACGAACCTGGAAAGGAATATAGAAATGTAACGCATGGCAACGTTTTCAAAGGCACCTGATTGGGTGACGGGCAAGTGCAATGCTGATTGTATCGATCTTGATGTACCGTGCCGAGGGCTGTGCTGTGCTACACCGTGCTGAATTGCGATGTGCCATGCCGCGGTTGTGCTCTATAGCGTCGTGGATCGAGTCTTCCTTTGCATCCGAGTCCTGACCGAACTGATCTGCATCTTAAGCTCGAGCTGCCTGAACAAATATTAGCTGCCCCAGAGCTAATTGACAAGGGGGCATGCCAGGAGGACGCGCCGCGAAACGTCCCAAGGGACGCGCCAGGCGGCGTTCCAGGGGACGTGCCATGGGGTCGCACCGCCGGACGTGCCAAGGGGATGCGCTACGGAACGTGCCAATGGATGTGCCACGGAATGTGCCAGGGGACGCGCCACGCGACGTGCCAGGGGGACTCGCCAAGGGACGCCCCACGGAACGTGCCAAGTTGCAATGCTGAGTGTATCGATCTTGATGTACCGTGCCGAAATCTGTGTGCTGCGCCGTGCCGAATTGCGATGTGCCATGCCGCGATTGTGCTCTATAGCCTCGTGGATCGAGTCCTCCTTTGCATCCGAGTCCTGACCGAACTGATCTGGATCTTAAGCTCGAGCTGCCTGAACACATAGTAGCTGCCCCAGAGCTAATTGACAAGGGGACATACCAGGAGGACGCGACGCGGAACGTCTCAAGGGACCCGCCAAGCGACGTGCCAAGGGACGTGCCATGGGGACGCACCGCGGGACGTGCCAAGGGGACGCGCTACGGAACGTGCTGGGGACAAGCGTTTCGCTCGAGACATCCTGCCAACATCCTCAGAATTCCTGCGCGCGGGACGCGGCACGCGCGAGACATCCTCAAAATTCTTGCGAGCGGGACGTGAAAACAAGCATTTTGCCTGAGACATCCTCTGAATTCTGGACCCCCCACGAGGACCCCCACGAGGCCCCCGCTCGAGACATACCCCAATTTTGCAAAACCAGCGTTTCGCTCGAAACGTCTTCAACAAATGATGAAAGACAAGCATTTCGCTCGAGAAATCCTGCCAAAATTCAAGGAAATCCTGGCAAAACGAGCGAATTAGTCGAGACATCCTCGAAATTCCTGCGCGAGGGACGCGGCACGCGCGAAACATCATCGGAATTCCTGCGCGCGGGGCGCTTTTCCGCGTCGCGGTCGGCTCTGCAAAACCAGCGTTTCGCTCGAGACATCCTCAACAAATTCTGAAAACAAGCGTTTCGCTCGAGACATCCCCAACTCTGCAAAACCAGCGTTTCGCTCGAGACATCCTTAATCAATTCTGAAAAACAAGCGTTTCGCTAGGGACATCCTCAAAAATAATTCCGCCGGCCCTCTTCCCGCACGTAATTTTTCGCAGAATAATTCCGCCGGCCCTCTTCCCGTCGATTCCGGGGGCAAACTTCTAAAAGAGAACCCTGGGCCGGCGCCCTTTCCGGGAAAAAGCTTCCAAGAGGGCCCCAAGATGGCCTGAGAGCACCTCAGAACGGCCCAAGAGGCGCCCAAGACGGCCCAAGAGGGCCCCAAGACGAACCCAGGCCCAATAGAGGGAGCATGAACCAAACATCCGAGCCTTCCGCCCCAAGAGGTCCCCAGGAGGCCTCAAGAAGCGCCCAAGAGGCCCCAAAGGGGCCCCCAAGAGGCCCCAAAACTGCATCCAGGAGGCCTCCGAGAAGCCTCTCACGAGATCCCAACGGACATCCAATAGGCTTCATCCCCACAATCCAGGCACGGTGGCGGGACATGCCGTAGGCAGGTGGAAAGCAAAGCGTATGTCCTTTACCTTCACTACTATTTTGCGTGCGCGCTGTAAGACAGAACGGCATCGCGAGCGCACACGTGCTCTTACTCGAGTGCAGGAGAGGAGAGGAAGGGAAGGCAGGAGAGAAGAGAGGAGGAGGAGGAGGAGGAGGAGGGGGAGGAGGAGGAAGAGGAGGAGAAGGAGGAGGAGGCGGAGGAGGAAAGGGAGAAGGAGGAGGAGGAGGAGGAGGAGGAGGAGGAAAAGGAGGATAAGAAGGAGGACGAGGAAGAGGAGGAGGAGGAGGAACGGGAGGAGGAGGAGAAGGAGGAGGAGGAGCAAGAGGAGCACGAGGAGGATGACAAGGAGGCAGCGGCAGGGGGTGGCAGGATGCCCAGGAGGCAGGAGGATGGAACACGAAGGCAGCAGGTGGTACAAACGCCAAGCAATTGCGAGAGGGGGCGCGCCGCCGGCAGAGAGCCCTATCAGGCTGGCGCGGGCTGGCATCGTCGGCGCTGGTTTGGCCAGCGCAAGCTTCGCCGGCGGGCGGGTCGGGCGGGCGAAACCCTGGCGGGCCAGGCCGGGCAGGCGGGACACCCAAGCGGTCGGGCGGGTCTGCCAGTACGCGAGCGTGCGGGACCCTGTAACGGGCGGGGCGGGCGGGCGGGACCCTGGCGGGCGGGCCCCCACGAGCGGGCAAGCGACACCAGGCGGGCGAAACCAGCCGTCGGCGACGCCAGCCGTCCCGATCAGACCCCCTCCCAACACCACGACGGCCCAGGCCGCGAGACCGCGCGGGCCCGCTCCCTCGCGGCCTGGAGGGAACAGAGGAGGAGCGCGTCCAGCGGAGGAGGAACACGAGCGGCTGAGGAAAGAAGAGAAGGAGGGAGGGGAGGGGCGGGCGGAGAGGCGGAGGGCTGACGGGGGGAGAACTATGATCGACTCTACTTCTCTACCCTGGTCGTCGCTTCAGGCCGCGCCTGCGCTGAAAGAGGAGGCGGACGAGGATGATGATGATGCTGATGATGATGATGATGATGATGAGGAGGAGGAGGAGGAGGAGGAGGAGGAGGAGGAGGAGGAGGAGGCGCAGGAGGAGGTCTGGAAAGAGGCGGAGTGCGAGCAGAAATCGGGAGGCAGGAGCATGAGCACGGAGGAGCAGGTCCGATCTCGCGCCCGCTCGCCACAATTCTGATCTTCCTCAATACTTCGCATGTTCCTTGCATTTAGGGAGAACGACGTGCCATTGCGCGTTGAGTCCTAGGGGGAGGAGGAGACGGTGGACGACAACGAAGACGAGGAGAAGAAGAGACGTCCGTTCGTGTCATCTTCAGCCGCCGAGCTGCGGTCCGGAGTGGTGCAGGCCGCATGGGTCTCGCTGTAGGTGCAGCCCGCAAGCTTCTCCTCGTGAAAGCAGTGCGAGCACGCCTCCTGGCTAGAGCAGCGTTGCCAAAATGTCCTCCTCCTCCTCCTCCTCCTCCTCCTCCTCTTACTGCTCGCCATCCCCTTTCTGACAAGATGAATAACCCCGTGCCCCAAATGACCACAGAGGGGAGATAATGAAAATCGGGGACTCGGGGGAGTAATAAACGGCTATTGCCGGCAAGTCGCGCGTGGGATGCATGACGACGAACGAGGAGGTCGTCGCCGCCGTCGTCGTCGTCGTCGCACGACGACGACGACGACCTAGCCCTGCTACACATTTCACAAGAAGGGGAGGGGGAAGGTGAGAGGAGGGGAGGAGGAGAGGTGGGAGAGGAGAGAGGCCACATGACAAATTTTCCCAGATTCGGGACATCGCGCTTTGTATTCGTAAAGCCTAATGTTCCCCACATCCTTAGTGGGTTTGTGGTTTTCTCCAAGGGCGCGTCGCACCCGCGTTCCTTCTCCTCTTTTCCTCCTCCCCACCTTCTTGCTTCTACGTCTCGCTCGCCAGTGCACGCCTGGCGTGTCCACGCATCATACACCCACGACGCATGCGCCACATACAGGGCAACCACATGATAAACACATCCAGATACAGCGCGGCCGCTATGCGCACCTCTCGTCCAGGGCATAGCAAGCGTGACACAATCGGGGGTGCGCAAGGGGTGGTCCCTCAGAGCGGCCGCTATCCGTCACGGTCGTCCAGGGCATAGTTGGCGTGGCATATTCTCGACACCGTCGGTAGGGGGTACGCATGAGGTGGTCCCTCAGCGCGGCCGCTATCCGTCACGGTCGTCCAGGGCATGGCAGGCGTGGCAGATTCTCTATTCTCGACACCGTAGGGGGTGCGCAAGGGGGGTCCATAAGCGCGGCCGCTATCCGTCACGGTCGTCCAGGGCACAGCAAACGAAACATATTCTCGACACCATGCGGGGTGCGCAAAGGGTGGTCCCTCAGCGCGGCCGCATCCGTCACGGTCGTCCAGGACATAGTAGGCGTGGCATATTCTTGACACCATAAAGGGTGCGCAAAGGGTGGTCCCTCAGCGCGGCCGCTATCCGTCACGGTCGTCCAAGGCATAGCAGGCGTGGCATATTCTTGCTATCCGTCACGGTCGCCAGGGGCATAGCACGCGTCGCATTTCCTCGGCACCGTAGGAGTTGCGCAAGGGGTGGTCCCTCAGCGCGGCCGCTATGCGCCCAGGTCGTCCATGACATAGCAGGCGTGGCATCATCAGGGGCACGGGGTTAAAGCACGCCAGGGCTCAAGGTGGGCCTGGCAAGGATGTGATGGTGCTGTACAGCAGCCGATCTCTGGTATTCCTTCTGCTCCCCATCCCCATCCATCCTTATATTCCTCCTGTTCTGCCTCGTTCTGCCTGTCTCGAAAGACCGCGGCACGCTCGAAAGCCAGCAGCATCTGGCATGCTGGACAGGGAGTTTCCAGTCACGAGCGGATAGGGAGAACGCTGGCGCAGGAGCCGCCGCGAGGGCGAAGACTCTCCATGCCCGGTGGCGGCGCAAGGGGTGCACGCAACCCGGCACAGGAACGTACATCCCCTCGCCACCAATCACCCCGACCCTGCAGAATCGGCGAATGCCGTGTGGACTCCTGCTCGGCCCGCCCCTTCTCCCAGGGCCTCGCCCCGCCAGGACTTCGCACAAGGAGCCCAGAAATCCAGACCTTCGCCCGCCCCCCCAACAAAATCACCACTCCCAACAATCATCAGGGATAAGGTTGAGCCGTAGGCCGGGACGCAGCGCAGAGGCGCCTGGATCAGCTGGAATCTGTGATGCATCGCCGATAGATCGGCGACAGGCCCCCGGCAGCAATTTCCGCACGTTCCTGAGCGGCGCGGGCTGTCGGCCCCCCATCGGCGGTCAGTGAGCGGTTGAAGTCGTCGCATCACCCCCTGAGCCTGTCCACCCCGAACGTTGGTTGCCCATGGAGGCCAAGCCCTGGATACACCGTGCGCAGGACGGGCGGTTCCGTTCCCACGAGGGCCGAGCGAAGGAAAAACATGCGGCCACGTGTGCAAATACCGAACTCCCGCCCGGGCTCGCCACCTCACGTGCACCCAGCTGCCTGGGAATGCGAACGCCCTCAGGCACTGGCAAGAGAGAGAGAGAGAGCAAGAGAGAGAGAGAGACAGAGAGAGAAAGAGCGAGAGAGAGAGAGAGAGAGCGATACGATAACCTCCTGAGGTGCCCCTGGGCTTCTGTCGGCCCCCCAAACCATCGGGAAACAACAACCTTCCGTGGGGCACATGCTGGCAGGCTGGCTTCATATCTCCCGTGCGTAGCGTCAAGAACAAGCAAAGAGCAAGGCGGGGGCTGCCGCAACGTTGCCGTGGACACCAGGCTGCAAGATCAGGTTCGTATTGTGTCGACCCAGGCGTTGGCTCCTGACACCGCGGGGATCGCTCAACCTTGAACGACCTGCCCTTTCCGCAACGTCCGGTCGTTCATCATCGACCGACTCTGGGCCGCTGATCGACGCGACGCGAACCTACCGTACCGATCTTTCCCTGGGCCGGCTTGTCATTCCGAGCCGATCTTGGGCGGTCCCAGGACCCCACGGAGGGCCCCCAGAGGCTGAAGAGAAACGCAGATGACCCTGCGACGTCCCCAAAACCCCTTTGAATCATATGGCCAGAGCAGTTGGCCCACATTACTGCTGGATGATGGCACTGCAGGTACCGCCGCTGTTGTGCGAATTGCACGAGGTGCGCGCGGGTTGCACGGATCACAAGAGAGCAAGAGGAGGACGAGGACCCCCAGAAGCGGAACATAGCAGAAAGCCTCCCGTCGTTGTTCTCTTGACGGCGCCAGAGGGTCCGAGCCAGTTGCCATCCACTACGAGGGGGCGCCCGCGGCGCAGCAGAGCGTACTCGGCGGCGCCAGGAGAGCCCAACATCGAATCCATAAGTCGGATCGGCGATACAATTCCATCGGATCGGCGGAACACGGCAGCCAGGTCGGGAGAGGTCAAATGGGCGGAACTCGGCAGCCTATATATCAAGGCCTCCATGGAGAAGCCGAAATCCGACATCGACTCGGAATCGGAAGCGGACCGATCGAAGCGAGTCCAATCGCTGGAATCGGCATGAGCCCTGCAGGGCTGCTCCAGGTCCGCACCCCCGGATGCCCCCGGGGATCCCCGCAGTTCTCGGGGCCGCCACCGCACGGCCGAGAGGGCTCCCAGCAGGCCCCCGAGGCCGGCCGAGGCCACGGGGCGGGTACCCAAAGGGCCGACCACGGGACGCATCGAGAGACGGAGAAGGGCCATGAGCTACAGTCGTGGCGTTGACCTTAGGAACCCTAAATAAGGAACGAGGCCCTTTTTTCCATAAGTTAACCTTCGATTTCCGGTCGAAAACATAAGGAAAACCTGAGGCAAACTGCGAAACAATTAAGGAACACGGAGCCCCTCCCCAACGAAAAGGGTTCCTTGTCCAGCGCCCCGACTGTATGAGATCCGGGGAGATATCATGGCCCCAGTTATGATATCCACACACCCCTAGCTATCGGCTCAGCCCCCTCTTGGACGCCCCCGACAAGTCTGGATCCCAGACATGCTGGCGTCGCGAACAACATCATGGCGGGATGTTCTTTTTTTGCCGTTTTCAGCCTCTGGGGGCCCTCGCCGGCCCCGGGACCGTCAAAGAACGATTCGGGATGAGAAAACGGCATGGGTTGTCGCAAGGACAAGTCTGCAACAACCAACTCCCAGGTGCCAGGGTCGCGGGCACACAGGGGTTCACAAGCAGTGCGGGGCGCCGCGGCTCTTTTTCGGACACCGGGACGGGCCGACACAGAAAAGCGGGTCAGGAAGGGCCAGAAACGGGCAAGAGAGCGAGGAGCCGAGGAGCGAGAAGGGGCGGGGGAGAGGGAGGGAGGACGACTCGACGGGCAAGGACAGACCGGGCCGACAGACGGACGGACGGGGGGACAGGGAGGGGAAGCCAAGCAGGAGGGGAGGGGGAGAGCACACAACGCACAAGGGCAAGGACGCACGAGGGCAAGGGGGGGCGACACGGAGGGGGAAGGGAGAGGGAAGAAGGGGGAGGAGCCGGGTGCCGGGGCCAAGGCAAGGCAGAAGGCGGGCCGAGAAGCACACCAGAGCGACGGCGCATCAAGAAAATTGCCGGCGTCCCTCAACTTCCCTGGGACCCCGTATTGCAAAGATCAAGGCCTGGGATTGGCGTGCCCTCAAGGCAGCCGGCGGCGGAACTCAGCGTGAAGACTGTGCGTCTGGCTGGAGCCGTTTGTGAGTGGCAAGCTCTCTCACAGGCGCAGGGCCCCGAGGAGGGTCTCTGCCAGCGCCCTGCCGGGCGGAGGGAGGGTAAAATACCGCGGGCAGCCTCACCCCAAGGCAGGGGGGGGAGGGAGGAGGAGCCCAAGCCGGGGAGGGGAGGAGAGGAGAGGGGTACAGTCGACCTGTATAATAAGGATGCGCAGTGAAGATGCAAAGGACTTTGAGGGCCATGCTAACGTCTCTCAAACGAAGTTGGCCAACGAACGTCGCTAAGGACGGGCCGAAAGGGCAAGAATGCAAGGGTAGCCTCGGAAAGTTGTTCATCCTTAGTTACTCTGTGGGTTGACGGTATCGTACCAATGTCTGTCCCACCGCCTCGGACAGGAAGCTCCTTGGCTGTCAGCCTGGCCACCTCCGCCTTCAGCCTGGCCAACTCCGCCTCGCGTCGCCGGATCGATTCTGGGGACCTCGGCAAACGGTGGATATGGACAGATCCAAGCTCCGAAGGAGGGGCAAAGATGTCCATGTCTACCGCCCGCCGACGTCCCCGCGTGTCCCGCCACAGGCAATGGTTATGGACAAATCTCCGCCTCGCAGAGGAGATGGACACAGGGCGGGATGCGAAACTGGGCGGGGATGGAGACAGGCGAGAAGAGACACGGAAAGAGGTAGAGCTGAGAAGGAGGAGGGCGTGAGGGGAGGAGGGATCAGAGCGCGGTGCTCGCAGTTTACTGAGCATACGATGCGAAGAGCGGTTTCGAACCCCAGTGGCCTCCTTGCTCAGACATGATCGATCCACGAACCCGGAAAGGAATATAGAACTGTAACACATGGCAGCGTTTTCAAATACACCTGATTGGGTGACGGGCAAATGCAATGCTGAGTGTATCGATCTTGATGTACCGTGCCGAGGGCTGTGCTGTGCTGCGCCGTGCTGAATTGCAATGTGCCATGGCGCGATTGTGCTCTATAGCCTCGTGGATCGAGTCCTCCGCTGCAACCGAGTCCTGACCGAACTGATCTGGATCTTAAGCTCGAGCTGCCTGAACACATAGTAGCTGCCCCAGAGCTAATGGACAGGGGGACATGCCAGGAGGACGCGCCGCGAAACGTCCCAAGGGATGCGCCAGGCGACGTGCCAGGGGACGTGCCATGGGGTCGCACCGCGGGACGTGCCAAGGGGACGCGCTACGGAACGTGCCAATGGATGTGCCACGGGATGTGCCGGGGGACGCGCCACGCGACGTGCCAGGGGGACTCGCCAAGGGACGCCCCACGAAACGTGCCAAGGAACATGCCAAATTGCAATGCTGAGTGTATCGATCTTGATGTACCGTGCCGAGGGCTGTGCTGTGCTGCGCCGTGCTGAATTGCGATGTGCCATGGCGCGATTGTGCTCTATAGCCTCGTGGATCGAGTCCTCCGCTGCAACCGAGTCCTGACCGAACTGATCTGGATCTTAAGCTCGAGCTGCCTGAACACATAGTAGCTGCCCCAGAGCTAATGGACAGGGGGACATGCCAGGAGGACGCGACGCGGAACGTCTCAAGGGACGCGCCAAGCGACGTGCCAAGGGGACGTGCCATGGGAACGCACCGCGGGACGTGCCAAGGGGACGCGCTACAGAACGTGCCAATGGATGTGCCACGGGATGTGCCAAGGGACGCGCCACGCGACGTGCAAAGGGGACTCGCCAAGGGACGCCCCACGGAACGTGCCAAGCGAGCGTGACGTGAATCCTCGGAATTCCTGCGAGCGGGACGTGAAAACAAGCATTTCGCCTGAGACATCCTGTGAATTCTGGCCACCCACGAGGCCCCCGCTCGAGTCATCCTCCAATTTTGCAAAGCCAGCGTTTCGCTCGAGACATCCTCAACAAATTATGAAACAAAAAAAAACATGATGGACCCACGAACCCGGAAAGGGATATAGACATGTGGAGCATGGACACGTTTTCACGATACCCAACTGGGCAACACCTCACAAAACATCCCACGAGACACTTCACGAAACATCCCACGAGACACCTCACGAAACATTCCACGAGACACCTCACGAAACATTCCACGAGACACCCCGCGAAACATTCCACGAGACACCCCACGAAACATTCCACGACGACAGGCAACCACTCAACCAAGGCGGTGTGGTCGTGCTGGGGAGTGGTCGTGCTGGGGTGTGGTCGTGCTGGGGGGTGGTCGTGCTGGGGGGTGGTCGTGCTGGGGGGGTGGTCGTGCTGGGGGGTGGTCGTGCTGGGGCGTGGTCGTGCTGGGGCGTGGTCGTGCTGGGGCGTGGTCGTGCTGGGGCGTGCTGTGGTGAGGTCGTGCTGGGGTGTGGTCGTGCTGGGGTGTGGTCTTGCTGGGGTGCTGGGTCGTGCTGGGGTGGGGTCCTGCTGGGGTGTGGTCGTGCTGGGGTGTGGTCGTGCTGGGGTGGGGTCGTGCTGGGGTGTGGTCGTTCTGGGGTGTGGTCGTGCTGGGGTGTGGTCGTGCTAGGGTGGGGTCGTGCTGGGGTGGGGTCGTGCTGGGGTGTGGTCGTGCTGGGGTGTGGTCGTGCTGGGGTGTGGTCGTGCTGGGGCGTGGTCGTGCTGGGGTGGGGTCGTGCTGGGGTGGGGTCGTGCTGGGGTGTGGTCGTGCTGGGGTGGTCCGCACCCTGTGATTTATCGATCGGGTCGTGCTGGGGTGTGGTCGTGCTGGTGCTGGGGTGTGGTCGTGCTGGGGTGTGGTCGTGCTGGGGTGTGGTCGTGCTGGGGTGTGGTCGTGCTGGGGTGTGGTCGTGCTGGGGCGTGGTCGTGCTGGGCGTGGTCGTGCTGGGGTGTGGTCATGCTGGGGGTGTGGTCGTGCTGAGGTGTCCCGCACCCTGTGATTTATCGATCGGGATTTCAAAAACAAGCGTTTCGCCTGAGACATCCTCAATTTTTAATCCGCCGGCCTCCTTCGACCTCGATATTTATCAGGGAAAGAATCCGCCGGCCTCCTTCAAGTTGGGCACCGGGGACATGTTTACATATTAAAAGAGAAACCTGAGCCTATGCCCTTTCCGGGAACAAAAACAGCGTTTCGCTCGAGACATCCTGTCAAAATCCAAAGAAACCCGCGCCAAACAAACAAATTTGTCGAGACATCCTCAACATTCCTGCGCGCGGAACGCGGCACGCGCGAGACATCCTCGGAATTCCTGCGGGCGGGACGTGGAAACAAGCATTTCGCTTGAGATATCCATTGAATTCTGGCACCCCACGAGACCCCCGCTCAAGACATCCCCCAATTTTGCAAAACCAGCGTTTCGCTCGACACATCCTCAACAAATTATGAAAAACAAGCGTTTCGCTCGAGACATCCTGTCAAAATCCAAAGAAATCCTGGCAACCAGCGTTTCGGTCGAGACATCCTCAACAAACTCTGAACAAAAACAAGCGTTTCGCTCGAGACATCCTGTCAAAATCCAAAGAAATCCGCGCTAAACAAACGAGTTAGTCGAGACATCCTCAAAATTCATGCGCGCGGGACGCGGCACGCGCGAGACATCCTCGGAATTCCTGCGAGCGGGACGCGGAAACAAGCATTTCGCTTGAGACATCCTCTGAATTCTGGCCACCCACGAGGCCCCCGCTCGAGACATCCCCCCAATGTTGCAAAACCAGCGTTTCGCTCGAGACATCCGCATCAAATTCTGAAAAACAAGCGTTTCGCTCGAGACATCCTGTCAAAATCCAAAGAAATCCTGGCAACCAGCGTTTCGGTCGAGACATCCTCAACAAACTCTGAACAAAAACAAGCGTTTCGCTCGAGACATCCTGTCAAAATCCAAAGAAATCCGCGCTAAACAAACAAGTTAGTCGAGACATCCTCAAAATTCCTGCGCGCGGGACGCGGCACGCGCGAGACATCCTCTGAATTCCTGCGAGCGGGACGTGGAAACAAGCATTTCGCTTGAGACATCCTCTGAATTCTGGCCACCCACGAGGCCCCCGCTCGAGACATCCCCCCAATGTTGCAAAACCAGCGTTTCGCTCGAGACATCCGCAACAAATTCTGAAAAACAAGCGTTTCGCTTGAGACATCTTGTCAAAATCCAAAGAAATCTTGGCAAAACAAGCGAATTAGTCGAGACATCCTCAAAATTCCTGCGCGCGGGACGCGGCACGCGGGAGACATCCTCTGAATTCCTGCGCGCGGGGCGCTTTTCCGTGTCGCGGTCGGGGCTCCAGACCCTGTTATTTGTCGAGGATTCTGCGAAAAACGCTCCGCACCCTCTTTTCTACAAAAGAAAACGGGGGTCTGCGGACCCCGTTTTTTATCGAGGATCCGAGATGGGGGGCGCACTTTCCTCGAGCGGGCACGCACGAAACGCACTTTTTCGAAAAAACACACTTTACCTCGTTACTTACGCAAAATAATTTCGCCGCCCCTCAACAAGTCAGAACTGGGGGTAAACCATATAAAAGAGAACCCTGGGCCTATGCCCTTTCCGGGGACAAAAAAAAAACATACGACCTGCGTAAAGCTTGAACTGGCGTGCAAATCTTTGTTCGCCCCAGCGACACATGCGCATCGAGGCGTGCATCCACGACCTGCGCGTCGCCACGCTGCTCCCGGGCAGGCTGTGCTGCCGGGCGGCTGAGAAAGGAGACGGGAGAAGCAAGCAGCCGACGACGAACGCGCCGGCGGGAGGACGGGGCCCGCGGGGCGAGCGGGCGGGCTGAAGGGGGTCCGGGCGGAGACAGCAGGAAGGGAAGAGGAGGAAATGGACGGAGGCAAGAAAGAGGAGGAGGGGGGAAGCAGCCGCAAACTAACAAGGTCGAACGCATGCTGAGGAGGAAGAGAGGCAAGAAGACGAGGCGGAAGGGAAGGGACGCAACCGCAAACAGACAGGCCAGGCCAGGGGCCGGGAGAGGAGAGCTACCCGCGACATGGCTACGGACCCTACGGCGGCGACCTGTGCGGGGTGGCCGACCGAGCCCAGCACGCTGCCGCTTGGTGGAAAGAGCCCTCTGCGGGATCTCCCACCTCCCCGCCGAGGAAGGGCCAGACGGCGCGTGTCAAGGGTCGCCAGCGCGGCGTTGGCGAAAGATCGCAGGGGGCGCCCGTGCTGCCCAGCAAGGGCGTCAGTGCACCCCAGCGACTGAATACAGGCAGTAGACGGGCCGCCAGAGAAGCTTCCCTTGATAAACAGACCTTAGACAACTGTCCAACTGTCGAGATCATCGAGCAAGCCCTCTCCCGTCAAGAGTAAGCAACAGCTAACCCATCGGCTAACATGTTTGGAACAAAAGAGACGCCAAGCGTTCCAACAGTCTGCGAAAGGCCATGATAATCAGAGCAGCGTTTGCCCATATGAACGGCCGTGTGCAGAATGCAGTCCGGCCGCGGCTCAGAACTTAGGGAGCAGCGTAAAGGTGCAAGACCCTTGGGCGACGGCAACCGCACTCTGACCCTCCCT